GGCGGGCACCTGTGGTCCCAGCTACTTGGGAGGCGGAGGCAGGAGACTCGCTTGAGCCCAGGAGTTGGAGGTTGCTGTGAGCTGTAATGCCACTGCACTCTGCCCAGGGGGACAGCTTGAGGCTCTGTCTCAAAAAAAAAAAAGAAAAAAAAAAAGAAATTTAAGATCTAGGTTCAGCGCCTGTGGCTCAGGCGGCTAAGGCACTAGCCACATACACCTGAGCTGGCGGGTTCGAATCCAGCCCAGGCCCGCCTAACAACAATGATGGCTGCAACCAAAAAATAGCCAGTGGGTGCCTGTAGTCCCAGCTACTTAGGAGGTGGAGGCAGGAGACTCCCTTGAGCCCAGGAGTTGGAGGTTGCTGTGATTTATGATGCCATGGTACTCTACCCAGGGGTGACAGCTTAAGGCTCTGTCTCAAAAAATAAATACATAAATAAATAAATTTATTTAAATAATATTTTTAAAATATAATGATAAATAAATAATACATTATTTATTATAATAATATAATATAATAAATTTATTTTAAATAATGTTTTTATCTATCACTGAGCAAAATTAGCTATTATGAGCAGCACCTGTAGGTCAGTGGGTAGGTTGCGGCCACATACACTGAGGCCAGTAGGTTCAAACCCAGCCTAGGCCAGCTAAAACAACAATGATACCTGCAACAACAACAACAAAAATATCCAGGTGTTATGGCAGGCACCTGTAGTCCCAGCCACTTGGGAGGCTGAGGAAAGAGAATTGCTAAGCCCAAGAGTTAGAGGTTGCTGTGAGCTGTGACAACACAGCACTCTACTAAAGGTGACATAGTGAGACTCTGTCTCATAAAAAAAAAAAAAAAAAGAAAATTCCTTACTTGTTTGAGAACTCATATTTTTACCTGTGTAAAACATAATATAATTTGCGTAAATTATTTTATCTTGTTTCTATGGTTTTCTTTTCTTTTTCTTTTTCTTTTTTTTTTTTTAATTTCTGAGTCAGAGTCTCAAGGTGTCACCCTCGGTAGAGTGCTGTGGCATCATAGCTCATAGCAACCTCAAATTCTTGGGCTTAAGCGATTCTTTTGCCTCAGCCTCCCAAGTAGCTGGGACTACAGGCGCCCACCACATCACCCATCTGTTTTTTGGATGTAGTTGTCATTGTTGTTTGGCAGGCCCAGGCTGGATTCGAACCCACCATCGCCGGTGTATGTGGCTGGCACCTTAGTGGCTGAGCTACAGGTGCTGAGCGTTTCTGGTTTTTTGTTTGTTTTTGAAACCTCAAGCTGTTACCCTGGGTAGAGTGCAGTGGCATCACAGTTTACAGCAACCTCAAACTCTTTTTTTTTTTTTTTTTTTGAGACAGAGCCTCAAGCTTTCCCCCTGGGTAGAGTGCCATGGCATTACAGCTCACAGCAACCTCCAACTCCT